TGAGAATTAATCTGCTCATGGGATTAAGCTCCTTATTGTACCAACTGTTAAGATAAGCATCAAAGTGATTGAGGATTTGATCACAATGGATTCTCTTAAGCTTACCTGTTGTAATAGTGGACCCCAAATATTTGAAAGGTGGGCTTCCTACCATAAAGCCAAGAGCTTCTTCCAGTTTCTTCTTGTAAGTCCAGTGGCTGCTTTTCTTGCAGAAAACCTTACTTTTCTTGTTGTTGATTTCTTGCCCAGAAGCTCTAAGGTAGTTATGTAGGATGTGATTAAATCTCAGCATATTCCTTAGGTCTCCCTTAAGAAATACTAAGAGGTCATCTACAAATGCAAGATGAGAAACCACCTGACTTTTCCCTGCCTTGAATGGTGCTATAAAACCAGAAGAGATAGCATAGTTCAGGCTCCTAGAGAATCCTTCTGACCCAATGATAAAGAGGAGAGGAGAAAGAGGATCTCCTTGTTTGACTCCCCTCTTAATTTTGAAAAAACCATGGGGGCTTCCATTGATGAGCAAAGAAATGTGAGTGGCCTCTAGATTTTGCAGAAGAAGAGCTATGCAGTGATCATTAAATCCAAAGGATTTGAGCACTTTTTTTAGATATGACCAAGAAATCTTATCAAAAGCTTTGGCCATGTCAAGTTTAACCATCACATTACCACCTCTGACTTTTGATTCCAACCTGTGCATTAGCTCATTAGTTAATAAGATATGTTCCTCAATACCCTTCCCTTTTTGGAAACCTTCCTGTTTAGGTGATATGATCTTGTCCAGAAGAGGGGAAAGTCTATTAGACAAGATCCTAGAGATAATCTTGCTGAAGAAAGTAGAGAGGGCAATAGGTCTATAATCTCCAATAAACTTAGCCCCTTCAAGTTTAGGAATGAGGATGATATAGGTGCTTCCAAATGCCATAGGGATAGGATGTCCTAGGAAGAATTCCTGAATAGCACTGATAATGTCAACTTTAATAATGTCCCAAAAATACCTGAAGAATTCTCCATTATACCCATCTGGTTCAGCAGAGCTATTAGGATTTAGGTGCCAAATAGCAGCCTTAATTTCTTCTTCCTGTGGCAGTTTGATCATATTTTGATTGTCCTGATCAGTGATAAGAGTTGGGATATGACAAAGGATGGGTTCAAGATTGCCCATAAATTCTTGAGTGTAAGAACTCTCAAAGTGATTGACAATAAAACTGGAGATTTCATTATGATCCACCATCTCCTTGCCTTCGTGATTTTTTAGAAGTCTGATGCTAGCCTTTCTTCTTTTGCCTTTGACATAAGAATGAAAGAATTTAGTTGAAGCATCTCCATTAGCAATCCACTTAACATTGGCTTTTTGTGACCAGTAAGCCTCTTCAATTTTGCATGTTCTCAGTAGCTTGGCATTGGCCAAATTACAGGCCTCTCTATTCACTTCAGATTCCTCATCTTCAAAGTTTTCTTGAGCTTGCAAAGCTGCCTTTTTTGCTTCTTGGACTTTGATGAAGATATTTCCAAAATGAGCAAGATTCCAATCCTTAATACTTTTTTTCAAATTTTTGAGTTTAATTGCCAGCCCTCTCATGCCCCTACCATTGCTATAAGAGCTCCAAGCTTTCTTGACCATGTCATAAAAACTTTCATTAAGTGCCCACGCATTAATGTATCTGAAAGGTCTAGGTCCAGAAAAGTGGTAGTTGATGCAGTCCAGAAGAAGTGGCTTGTGATCAGAGGAGGTTCTGCCCAAATGATAAAGATAAATATCAGAGTATTGATCAAGGGTGCTTTGATTAATCAGTACTCTATCTAGTCTACGTAGAACTCTCCCCTTGGACCTATTACCCATCCAAGTAAAGATATTGCCCTTAAGACAGGGTTCCAATAAGCAGCAGTTTTGAATACACTCCCTAAAGTCTTCAATACTATGAAGACAGGGAGCCACATGTCCTTGGTGTTCAGTAAGGGAGGTGACTGTGTTAAAATCCCCTCCTACAATCCAAGGTTGATCCCCTGGGTCATGATCCACCATAGAGTCCCAGAGGAGAAGCCTATCTGCTCTACAATGTTTTCCATACACAGAGCTGATAAACAAAGGATGATCAGAAGTATTAAATAGGCATGTAGTGATTTGATCTCCTTCTTGGACCTGTTGGAGATTAAGAGTGTTGTAGTCCCAGAAGATCCAGCACTTATTGAATTGAGTGGAAAAACCATGAGAAAAACCAAGTTTGATTTTATAGTAGTCCAATCTTTTAGCTGCTACAATAGGTTCAAAAATAGCCAGGAAAGAAAATTTGTGAGTCTTGCTAAGAAGAAGTCTGTTGAGGGATGATTTAATCCCACAGATGTTCCAGAAGAGGGCTTTCATTGGGAAAAGGCTATTGAGGAACTCTTATTAGCTGACCTCAATCTTGATTTAATATTGGTGTTGTAAATTGTCTCCATGTCCCTAATTTCCTCCTTTTGGTTATTAATATTTTTATCAGTCACACAGGGAGGTTCATAGTCCTGCATAATTCCAAGATCTTCACAATCTGACTCATCACTATCAGAATCACATTGAAGGAGAGGGGAGAAGCTAGACTCTTCAATAGTAGGGAGGGGTTTCCAAAGAACCAGAGCCAATTTATTAATCTCAGGATAATTGGGAGGGACAGGATTATGAATAATAACCTTAGCATTATTAATGGGGCCGGGGGAAGCAGTAGCAGTGGGGGGACTGTCCTATAGTTGTTTGGGCATATTCTGATTGGAACAATCCCCAGAGCTTTTCTTTCTCCATACTGGACCTGACCCACATTTTTTGGAGGTGACCATTGTCCAATTATCCTAGCTGGGCTCTTTTCCCTTACCTATAGAGGAATCTGACTGAACCGGTTCAGTTTGAGCCGGTTTGTGAACATGAGAGCTCTGGGTTGGATCCTTCATCTTTCTGCAGCTGTTCTTCATATGACCAAGCTTCAAGCATGAATGGCAGTAATATGGGACATTTTCATAAATGAGAGGGGTAAATGAATCTTTATCACCTAATCTGATGTGCATCTTAACAGGTAATGGATTAGAGACATTCACCTCCACACAGAACCTAGCCAAATCTGGTCTTGTGAAGTTTAATGTGCTCTCATCCACTTTGAGAGGCCTACCCAAAGAGGATGCAATGTTGAATAGAGCTCTTTAATCATGCAGGAAAATAGGGAGGTTAGGACAAGAAACCCATACAGGAACAATGGGACAGTCCACCCCCTCCTTGTGATCATGAGTCCATTTGGTAACAACCATTGTTTGACCCCCAACTTTCCAGGTTTGTCTAAGCAAGATACGCTGATAATCATCTTCAAGCTGGAAGTTAATGAGCACCTGATTGGAAGAAAGTTTTCCAACTGTGAACTCTCCTTGATGTCCAAGTTTCTGCAAGAAATTCTTCATCACTGGGTATGGAGGCCTGCGAATGAAAGTGCCAATGAGAGCATTCTTGAATCTCCTAGAAAGTAGTTGGATGTCATCAAAAGAGAAAGACACTGATGGCACCCCTTTGTAAAAACCTTGAGTAACACCTTGTAATTTTTCTTCTTCTTTGAATGTATTGAGAACATCAGAAAAAAGTTTCTTCCGGCCACTAATTCCGGCACTCACTGCCGGCGGAATCTCTCTCTCACTAGACATTATATATATATATATATATATATATATATATATATATATATATATATATATATATATATATATATATATATATATATATGGATGGCGGTTTCTCTCTCTAGTTTTCCGGTGGGTGGATCCTTCTGGCGGGACTCTCATCCCGTCATGATTTCTGTCACAAGACCCTCTTCTCCGACCTTCTCAAGGGAATGAAGGACAACATCCTTGGTAGACTGTGTGGCTTCTACAAAGCAGCTCCTTCTGTTCAATTCACGGGGGTGAAGAAGAGATACTCGCCGGAAAACTTTGCAGAGCACTGATCGGAAGATCCAACTCCACGATCTCAATAAAAGACGTTGAAGCTTTCCTTATTAAGGGTAGCTACAAGGAATTCAAACTCAGGAGGCTTTCTTCAAATGAGCTTCTCTTCCTCTTTAAGAGGGACGAAGATTATCTTAGATGGTTTCACAGGCGTCACTAGATCATTTCCTCCTCCAGGATCACAATCTACAAATGGTCTCCCGACCACTCTCCTCTGTTCGATTCTTCAGTTATCCCGGTTTGGGTTGAAGTTGATCAAATTCCCCTTCATCTTTAGGACCATGGTCCTCTCTTCTCCATTGCGTCCACTCTAGGGAAAACACTGAAACTCAGTGCCAAGACTGCAATGGGTATTAACCCGGTGAAGACCAGGATCTGCGTTGAGATGGACGTTTCTCATGCCAAACCTTCTAAGATACATGTCCGGATCGGCTCTAAAGATCTGTGGCTTCCATGCAGGTTTGAAGAACACCCTCCCTTCTGTAGCCATTGCAAACGCTTTGGTCACCTAACGTTGCTTGCTATCGCACCCCTCTGGCAAGGCTCCGGCGGGTGGGGTGGGCCATAATGGAGCAGATAAATTTGAATGGAAATTGGTAACAACAAGAAGACAAAAGGCCAGCAGGAATTCAAAACCCTAGAACCTTTCCATCAGCTCCAAGCCAAAACCTTTGCCCCACAACTCCACTATCAGCAACATGCAGCAGCTAAAATCCAAACTTCCTTCTTGCCTTTCACTTCCCAACAGCAAGCCCAATCCTCCTCCACTACTCCCTGCAGCCCCCCTGGTGAGTGCCTCCTCTGGTGACGAGTCACCCCCTTTGAAGCTCACCCCACCCCCTCTATAGCTTCCTTGCAGGTCACATGCAGGGCCTATGCAAACCCTACCTCCAGCCCCTTCATCCTCTTCCTTCCCCCATGACCTCTCCTTCCTGGAGTTGGCTGTCCCCAAACCATGCTTGGAACTTATCCCCTTCCTTCCTCCTCCTAACCTCAATTTCCTTCATGGTAGTAAAGATGACATTTTCACTCCCAAAGACTTTATCCCCTCTTGGGAAAACTTGCAAACTGATGAGGAACAAGATGATCACATTTCTCCTATCTCCTACCACTTGGAGGGGGAACCTGATCCTAAACTTCTTTCCACAACCCCCTTGTCCCTTTGGTGATTGACATTTTAAATTGTTCTACAGATTCTATACCTTTGCAACCACGTCATGGGAGAACTAAACCTTCCCACCCAGGTTATGCTACCAGAAGTAGGGCTAGAAAGGAGGTATCTGTCACCCCCTCTCATGAACCTAGTCTTCTGGAATGCCTGTGGGGCTTCTTCCTCCTTAGCACGCTCATTTTCCTCAAGAGGAAATTTCAGTTGCATTTTCTTTGTGTTATTGAACCCCTTACTAATGTTTCTCAGCTTGATACCTTCAAACTCCAACTTGGCTTCTCTAATTCCCTCAACTCCTCAGATAATAAAAGATCGATCTTTTGGGACAACTCTCACCTTTCCCTCTTTTCCTCCCAAGACAGGCCCCAAGTTACTCACTGCCTCTTCACCCTGGCCTCCTTCAATGTTCCCATTCTAATCTCTTCTGTCTATGGAGCCCACACTATTGTGGAGAGGAGAGCTCTTTGGAGCAACCTACAGGCAGCTTGCACACCCAACTATAGATGGATCTTATGGGGGAGACTTTAACACTATCTCCTCCCTTTCGGAATACAGAGGTAAATGCATCCCCAACCTTCAAGCCATGGAGGACTTTAATAACTTCATTACCCACTGCCAACTTGTATCTCTGGATCCCATTGGTAGTCTTTTTACATGGTTTGGTGTCAAGAGCCAAGGTAGAACTTGGAGTAGACTAGATAGAGCTTTACTCAATCTCCCTACTCTAGCCCTTTTTGATGACATCTCACTTAAGCATCTTGCTAAATTCAACTATGATCACTGTCCACTCCTAGTTCAATACACACAGAAGGTTTGCCCAGGTCCTAAGCCTTTCAGATTTTTAAACTGCTGGAGACTGCATGATTCTTACCATCTATTTGTTAAGGATACCTTGCTTAAACTACCAACCACTGGAGGCATGAGAGGCTTGGCAAGCAAACTACACTCTTTGAAAGGGGCTCTCAAAATCTGGAATAAAACCACCTTTGGTAACATTCATTCCAAACTTCAAGAAGCTGAGGAGGCCTCCATTCACACTCAACTTGAATTCGAGCTAAACCCTAGTCAACAGAATAAGGAAGCAATGCAGCAAGCTAATGCAAATCTGATTCTTGCCACAAACTTGGAAGTCCAATTTTGGAGACAAAAAGCCAATATCAAATGGATGGATAAAGGTGACTCCAACTCCAAACTTTTCTGAGCTTATTCCAAAGGGAAGAGAAAGAAACTTCACATTTCCCACATTATTGGCCCCAATGGTAAAGGCTACTACAATCAGGCAGACATCAAAAGAGAGGCTATCTCCTACTTTGAGAATACTTTCAAGAGAACCCTCCATCCCTCCCTGGAGAATATTCTCCCCCTCATTCGCCTTACTCTTTCACCAGAGGACAACCACACTTTCAGTGCCTTGCCTACCTTAGAAGAGGTCAAAGAAGCGGTCTGGAGTTTAGATGGAAATAGTGCAGGTGGTCCTGATGGGTTCAATGATAACTTCTTCAAGTCCACTTGGGAGATCATCAAACATGACGTTATAATGGCATCACATGAATTCTTCTTGGGTGTTCCAATCCCTCAGGCCTATGGCAGTACCCTTTTGTCCCTCATTCCCAAATTTGACAGCCCCAGGAAGTTTGATGATTTCAGACCCATTTCTCTCTCAATCTTCATGAGCAAGATAAACACCAAACTGCTGTCCAATAGAATAAATGCTCTCCTGCCCAAAATTATATCCCAAGAACAAGCTGCTTTCCAAAAAGGGAAATCCATTGATGATCATGTATTTATGGAACAGGAAGCTATTCATCTTATTGACAAGAAAGTCTTTGGGGGAAACCTAATACTCAAGTTGGACATGGCTAAAGCTTTTGATAGGATTGATTGGGTATACCTTGAGGGAATCCTAGCAGCCTTTGGGTTCAACCCCCATTCGATATCCCTCCTCATGGCTAATCTCAAAGACACTAATTTTAGTATCCTTATCAATGGAGAACCTACAGGTTACTTCAAGATGGAGAGGGGAGTCAAGCAGGGTGACCCTCTCTCTCTTCTACTCTTCATCATTGCTGCAGAAGACTTCGGCAGGCTTCTCAATCACCAGATGAACTCACTATTTCTTATCAGATTCAATGCAGGCCAGGTCCCCTTTCCCTCTCATCTTATTTACGCTGGTGATCGAATGATTTTTACTAGGGGGCAGACAAGAAATTTGATCAAGCTCAAAGCTACTTTGGAGCTATATCTTAAAGCTTCTGGACAGGAGATCAACATACAAAAGAGCAAATTTTACACCTCCAAGAAGACAACCAATACTCATGCCCAAAACATGGAGAAAGCACAAGGCATCAGGAGAGGAAACTTGCCCTTCACCTACCTTGGAGCTACCATCTGCTGGGGTATTTTGAGAAAGGAATACTGCAAAAAGATTTTGGATCACTTTGAGAAACTCATCCATTCTTGGTACAGCAAAACTCTGAATCAAATGGGGAGGCTTATCCTAATTAAACATGTACTATCTTCTATACCTTTACACATCATAGCTGTTCACACCCTTCCAAAGTCTATCATAAAAATCCTAAACTCTTACATGGCCAACTTTCTTTGGGGGCAAAACCAAGGGAAACCTAAATACCACTGGAAGGGTTGGGATCAACTCACAACATCAGCAGAAATAGGGGGCTTGGGAATTAAAAGCATGGACGACCTTCAACACGCCTACACTCTCAAACTTTGGTGGAAAGAAAAAATGGACATGGGAGCTTCGGGAACATTTGTTAAAGCAAAAAACATGAAGCAAGGGATAATAAAAGAAAAGCTCACAGATTCTCCATCGTGGAAAAGAATATGCAAGTCAAATGAGGAGGCTACTCAACACATCACCTTCTCCAATGGAAACATGCAATGGGAAGGAACCAACTTTAGTCTCAAACAAGCCTTCAAGGTGGTCAGGGATGAAGGACCAAGCCTACTATCTAGCAGATATATTTGGCATAAAAGCAATATAACCAAGATACGAATTTTCTTATGGAAAGCCTTCAACAATATCTTGCCCTTTGCTTCCAACCTCAACAGATTTGCATTCACCTCGCCTAGCAGGTGCTCCCTTTGTCTCCAAAACACTGACTCCTTGGATCATACACTCCTCCACTGCCCCATGGCCACCATGGTTTAGAACCACTTTTCCAACTTATGCAATGGATCTAAAGTCAAGGAGCAAACCACCCTACGCCAATACCTACTTGCATGGTGGTTTGCTAGCCATACTAAGCACTTCAAAGGCAATCTTCTTCTCATTCTACCTGGCATTTGCAGCTGGTCTTTGTGGAAATCACGTAACTCTCACCTCCATCAAGGACTCACTCCTTCGGCACAAGGCATCCTCCAAATGTACTTCAAAACCCTTCAAGCTTGGTGTTGGGTTAACAAGGATAAAAAATGGATGGTACAAGATGAAGGCTTCAAAGGATTGGGGTTGGATACGTTTTGGAGAAATGGACGTAGGATTCTTCAACATTCCCAATTTTAGGTCCCTTTTTTTGGGTTGTTTCCCTTTTTTTTGGGTTGTTTCCCCTGTACTTCTTAATTTTTTCTTCTGTAACTCCTTTTTCCTTTTTCTTTAATAAAGCTCTATTTTAATATATATATATATATATATATATATATATATATATATATATATATTACCTTTTAAAAAAAATTTACACTTTTCAATTGTTCTATGTGTGTGACCCTTCTAGGTATTTATAACGAGAAGGTATATGGTACATCCAGATGTACCTAAAGATAGGTACATCCCTATAGTACTCATTCTGAAATAAAGTAGTACTTATTCTCGTACAAATATAATCATTCATTTCAAAATACGTGGTACTCATTCTGAAATAAGGTAGTACTCCTTTTAAAATAAAGGAGTACTCAGTTTTACACATTTTTCTTATATAATTATAATAAAGAGCGTAGTGTTCATTCTTAAACAAAGAAATACTCATTCTCAAATAAGGAAATGCTCATTCTAAAATAAAGTATTTTTCAATTATTTCAAAATTGAAAAATTCAGTACCATCATCATCCTTACGCTTCTTCATTGCCCCATTTCATCAAATCTTCCTCTATCCAATTTCTTAAGTTCATTCTATCCCTTAAATCTCTTCAACTTCTTTAGTCCTACCTAGGGTTTCCAGCTTCCGGTAATGCCGCCGCCACCATCGCCTCCCCTCGTCCTTAATCCGGCATTCTCCATCGTTTTTGCCTCCTCACGATCTTCGCGCCTCCCTTTGTTGTCGCCTCTCCTTCGTCGGCCTTGTTCGATGGTCACCCTCTCTCCTCCTTCGCAAACTTCTTCGATCCTGCATTTGTCGTTTCCTTTTACGGGATGTACCCATCTTTGGGTACACCCGGATGTATAATATGATTTGCAATTCATAACGTTGTTTATAATATTAATCAGAATTTATATTATGAATTATGTATAAGCAGTATCTAGTAACACATTATTTTTATCAATGTTGGAAGCATTACGTTTATTTAAAAAATAATAACATTTGTATAACTCTTATTCATTTATCATTAACGACTTTATTTATCACCCGACGAAGAGCTCCAAGAGGTATTCGGTGATGCGTAGTGAGCCCCTGATGTGCGGTTGTGGCGCTGGCTTCAACCTTTTGTCGGATTGAGTTGTACGAGCAGGGTTTTTATTACTTATTCAAAGGACACAGTTTAGCACTTCAGCCTAAGTTGTAAAATGAACGGATAATTTTGATTCGATTCGTGATTCGTATTCGAAATCAATGATTCATATTCGAAAAAATGAATACGAATAAGAATATAAATATTTATTAGAATTGGAAAGAAAGTGAATACGAATACGAATGTAACACCCTAATCCGTCCAGGTCTGCAGCCCCTTTCGGACTAAAGTATTAACTTGGTAATCGTAAAAATTTAAAACATTTCAAACACTTTTATTTATCATAATAATATTTTTCATAATATAAACAGTACGGAGTTTTCAATATTGCGGAAGCTTTACCAAATCATAATTACAACATCATTTATTATGTTCTTTAATTCAAAACCATCACATTCATTCCAACAATCTCGCCTCCGTCTGCCTCCAGGATCATGTCACTTCATTAACCTGCGTGTAGCAAATAAAACATACTACACGCTCAGCGTTGAAGTTGAGTAAGCATATCTAATGCATCGAACATCCATATAAACTGAATCTAAATTCATAATCAAATCATTTGATATCATGCACATAATGTTCAGTTCAGATAATCAATAATTAAAAAAATTTATTCATCATGCATTATTCAACATGTATATTCACATTCAATGTTCATCAGTCATTCATAATAATTGCAATATTCAATTCAATATTCATCATTCAATATTTACTCATATTCAATATTCAAAATTCAATATTCAACAATATCCTTAAACTATTCTTAGTCTAAGGCCAATCACTTTAATATTTGTCAACCCTTAAACGAATTCTAGTTTAAATAATTAAACTATATTCCAGTATAAAATATTCCTAAATAATCCTTAAGCTAGGCCTAGTTTAAGATAAAAGGGTTTTGAAAATCTTAAACTTACCTTCACTTAAGGCCAACCAAAAACCGACAGCGTAGTGTTCACTGTTGGGTGGGT